GGGCTGCGGGGGCGGGGAGCGGCCACTGCACTCCAGTCTGGGCAACAGTGAGACTCCAACTCAAAAAAAAAAAAAAGAAAGAAAACGTGCTAAGTGAAAGAAGCCATTCACAAAGACCACATAGTATATATGGTTCCATTTGTGGGAAATGACCAGATGAAGCAAATTCATAGGGATGGAAGTAGGTGAGTGGTTGCCACGGGCTGGGGGTTGGCAGGGTCAGAAAGAAACAGGGAATGATGCTAACGGGTACCAGGCTTCCTTCTGGGTGATGAAAATGTTCTGAAATTGATAGTGGGCTGGGCACAGTGCCTCACATCTGTCATCTGAGCACTTGGGAAGGCAGAAGCGAGAGGATTGCCTGAGCCCAAGGGGTTTGAGACCAGCTTAGGAAACTTGATGAGACCTCACCTCTACGATAAATCAAAAAATTAGCCAGGCGTGGTGGCGCGTACCTGGGGTTCCAGCTACTTGGAAGGCTGAGGCAGAAGGATCGCCTAAGGCGAGCAGGTCGAAGCTGCAGTGGATGTGAGTGTGCCACTGCATTCTAGCCTGGGTGACAGAGTGACTCTGACTCAAAAAAAAAAAAAGTGTGGTATAATTCAGGGTTAGGTGTACAAATGTTCATTATGCAGGTACCCTTGCTGATGAGGTGTGCCCCTTCCTCCCCTGGCAGTTTCTCACTACTGCCAATCCCACGTTCCTGGTTTTTAACACAAATCCTGTTAAATAAAGTTTACAGGAGGTTACTGGCCTGGTCTGAGCTCCTGCACTACGGCCAAGAGACCAAACCGAAATGGAGTCACTTGTGCTTAAAGCTTCATGCTTCCAGGCTGAAGCTAAGTTGCTTCTCTGACTTTCTGAGACATCAGGAGAGAGAGAGATAATAGCCAAGTCCCCAACAGGTAAGTTTTAGCCCACATCATAAGGAAGTCCCTCCTGCTTTAACCTTTAACTTTGAGACAACCAACCTGTTTTTTCTTTTCTTTTCTTTCTTTCTTTTTTTTTTTTGACTTGAAGTCTCAGTCCTTTGCCCAGGCTGGAGTGCAGTGGCATGTACACTCACGGCCACTCCAGCATCAACCTTCTGGGCTCCAGCAATCCTTCCGCTTTGGCCTTTTGAGTAGCCAGAACTACAGACGTGTGCTACCATGCCCAGCTATTTTTTATTTTATTGTAGAGACGAGGTCTTGCCAAGTTGCCCGAGCTGGTCTTGAACCTGTGGGCTCAGGCAATCCACTTACCTTGACCACTCAAAGTGCTGGGATTATAGGCTGAGCCACCGAGCCCAGCCCGCTTTTTGTTTTCTGTTTCTGCTTTCCTCAGTCCTTGTCTGTCTATAAAAATGACATCCTCTGCTCAGCTCATCGGAAAATTTGTTCTATTTTATAGAGTTAGTTGTTGCCTGGTTCTAGAACTGCAAATAAAAGCCTATTAAGACCATTAAACTAAATTTGTTGTAATTTTGTCTTTTTTTTTTTAAATTGGAGTCTCACTTTGTTGCCCAGGTTGGAGTGCAGTGGCACAATCACAGCTGCCTGCATTCTTGACCTCCTGGGCTCAGCCAATCCTCCTGCCTCAGCCTCCCGAGTAGCTGGGACTACAGGTGCGTGCCACCATGCCCCACTAATCTTTTGACTTTTGTAGAGACAAGGTCTTACTATGTTGCCCAGGCTGGTCGCAAACTCCTGAACTCAAGCAATCCTGTCACCTTAGCCTCCCAAACCCCACTGTGCCCAGCCAATGTTGTCTTTTGACAATCCTGAAGTAGTTAGGGGTAAAATGTCATGATGCCTAGAATTTGCTTTAATATCTTTAGGCTTAAACATTTTTCAGCAAGTATGGCAAAAATAACTCTTATTTTTGAGTCGGAGTCTCTGTCGCCCAGGCTGGAGTGCAGTGGCATGCTCATAGCCATGGCAGCCACGGTCGGCTGGGCTCAGGTGACCCTCCCGCTTCAGCCTCCCAAGTAGCTGGAACTACAAGTGTGCACCACCACGCCTGGCTCATTTTTTGATTTACTGCAGAGACTAGGTCTCACCAAGCTGCCCAGGCTGGTCTCGAACCCCGGGGCTAGGCAATCCTCTCACCTCCGCCTCCCAAAGTGCTGGGATCACAGGTGTGCGCCCCTGCGCCCAGCTGAAGTTTTCATAATAAAACATTAACATAAACTCCTTCAAGGTCCAAGTTCACACGGAATCAGCAGCACAGTCAGGATGTGAACCCGGGACTGCCTGACCCCAAAACTCCGCAAAGGAACCCGCGAAAACCTCCATCGCCCGAGAGGAAGGGGCTATCCAAAAGAAGAAAGGCCGCGCGGTGGCTCACGCCTGTCAACCCAACACTTGTGGAGGCCAGGCGAGAGGACTACTTGAGTCCAGGAGTTCGAGACCAGCCTGGGCAACACAGCGAGATACGTCTCAATAAGGAAAAAATTGTTTTTTGTTTTGTTTTGTTTTGTTGCGTTGGAGTCTCACTCAGTCGCCCAGACTGGAGTGCAGCAGCCGCTCCCGCAGCCTCGACCTGCTGGGTTCCCGGCGATCCTTCCACCTCAGCCTTCCAAGTAGCTGGAACTACAGGCGCGCGCTACCACGCCCCGCAAAAATCAGCGATTTTTGGTTTATTGTAGAGATGAGGCCTCGCCAAGTTGCCCAGGCGAGTCTCGAACCCGCGGGCTCA